ATGGGCCAAATGAGATAACTTTTTTAGGCCAATGAAACAGATACCTTTGAATATACGTTACTCATATTTAGGTGAAGACAGAATCAAAAAGTAAGGACTAATTTAAGCGTTAGCCAGCCAAACCTGCAGGTTTCAGAATAAGAACATATGACAACAAATATTTTCATCCTCCGTCCAGCTAACTTCTGCAGAATGGAAGGTTTTAGTTTTTTAAAGTAATCATTAGAAATTAATTAAGTTTATATTCTACAAGCAGTGAGGCTTAAGGAAATCTGCAATTTTCTGGTTTAGGTTGTCTATAGTTCACCTGTGTTCTGCTTTACCATGTCCAAGCTTTCCTTCACCTGTTATATTTGGTTCTTGCATTTAAAACAGCTGGTCTGCAGTTGAAAATGTGTTCGTCAAAGATACTGTGTTTAGAAACTGCAATCTCTGTGGCTCTTTCATGATCAGTGGAAAAGGACTCTGGCATAGCACTCCAGCTGTAATCAAGTCTTGGGTAATGTGCATGTAGCCAAGAGTAATGTTGATCCTCCTGGAGTATGAGACTGATTCAGCTCCTCTGGCCTCTTGCCATTGCATTGCTTCAGGTAGCTGCCCTGCAGTTAGAGTGCCCGGCACTGTGCTGCCAATCCGGAGGAACACCAAATGTGCCTGCTGGGCCTACTATGCTTTCCCTGCTAAGTGATGGCCTAGTTCTCTGTTTTTCTACGTTGTGTGCTCTTAGCATCTGGTCAACATGAATGCCTTGTTACTAGCATTAATTCACAGCCTTGTGAAGGGATACCTGTAGTTCCTTGATGCATGAAGTCATTGTGATATTTTGCCACTGTGTAGTATTAGGCAGTTTGGAAGAGGGGAGGTATCTCTTATCACCTTTTTCTCCCCCCTCCTCTAGAAATAACTTTCTCCTTTTCAGTATTATGTCGAAAGTCCTAACTCCTTTTCTTCATCCAAGCCCTAGAATTTCTGCCCTGATTAGCTGTAGAAGAAAGGGATTATATTGCTGATAAAAAGATATGTGTCCATTGTTCATTTCTGATATATATATATATATATATATATATATATTTTTACTGCCAAAGCTAAGTGTTCTGGGTTACCATTTTTAAGTTGTCATGTGAAAGAAATATGTTAGTTTAGCGTGAAGGGGGACAGTAATGACAATTATATAATGTATTCACTCTCTGGACTTCAGTGTGCTCTGTAAACAGCTATTGAAAGACAGATTTTAGCCTGTGAATATTGTTATGTCTCCAGAAGGCTTGAGAGTAGCCAAGGATCTTTCAGTGCTCTGAAAATGATCATAGTCTGTCATCTCAAAGAATCTTAATTTCTTTAATGAATGTAACAGCTGCATCTATTTAGTCTTAATCCTTGCACATCAAACTCTACAAAACCTTGCAGAATACTAGTCCTGACTCCAAACTCAGATGTGTTCTCTTGAGCACATGTGCAGAGATGACTTATTTACTGCTCCAAATGGTTGTGCTGGTTCCAGCAGGAGCTGCTCACAAGACATGTTTGCAGCATGTGTGCATATGTTTATAAATAGACTCTGAATGGACCAGATTTTCAAAGAGTAGTATAAATATAAGTGTTGGGATTACTTTTAGGCCCCATGTAAAAAGTCTAAAGGAATAGATACTGTTTCCTGTATTGACATTCCAGTTTGGATAATAACCTCTTACATGCTAGAAACCATCACATTTGTTTTCAAAATATCAAGGGAAAAAAAAAAAAACCAGCAAGAAAGCATCATGGACTTGGTAGTGATTTTTGCTTTCCAATATTTTGCCAATTTTGTGGTAACCTCATAACATTTTAGCAGTTTTTCTGACATGTTGCTGCTCTTACTTCTTTCTGAAGACCACAACCCCATAGGTCTCCTGTCTGTAGGGATAGCTAATGCTTTAAATGATCATTAGACATTCAAAATGAGTTTCCATCTCTCAAAAGATTGTCTTAGGGAATCGACTTGGAGCAGTTTGATACATGGAGGATAAATATAAGGGCCTTTAAAAAGCACTGCTAGACCGCAAATCCTTGAAAAACTTGCTTCTAAAATACTTACAAGAAAAAGCAATAGAAAATGTGTTTTTTTCTCTCAAATTAGATAGATATATATGATAGAATATCATATATATATCTATTAGATAGATATGTATGAGAATTCATTAACTTTCAAAAACTAAGGAGTGAAATGCTATGAAAAGGCTGAATTTTACCTTAGAAAAAAATACTACTTTTATCAGTTTTATTTACGGAGTCAAAATTACTTTATTCCAACTAAAAGGAGCTAGAGCCTCCCGCTTTGGGCTCTAACCAAAACATTCACATCAACCAATTTCACTAAGATAGATACCGAGTCAAAGCGGTGTTCGAGTCCAAAGGGTATTTTTAGTATGTTCCCTAATAAATGTTTTTGTTGAGGTAACATTGTTCCAGTGCTTGTTATGATGCTTACTCTGAAGAAATGAAACAGAATCTTCCAAACTGATAATTTCTGGGTGTATGTTGTAAATTGTATCATAGAAGGCTGGATGAGTTAAGGTAATTTTTCTCTTTTTATCCAAAGGTATAAATATAGCATATGTTTAGTATATATTTTACTCTGTCCTGATAACCAACATAAAACATTGTGGAGTAATTCAAAGATGATGTGAATCACTTGAGTATTCTTATTATTCTTGAATTCATGAAGTTGCATTTGATAGGGCTCTAGAAAATGCTGTTATATAATGGAAGTGGCCCTTCAAATTAGCCATGTTTCTCATTTAGAAGATGCCTATATATGTGTGTATCTATGGAGGCAAATAGCTTCCTGAGCTTGTGTGTATGATTTTCTTACCTGTGTAAGCATATTTGGGTAAAATCTCTGTAAGTTCCTGGACCTAGCATCAATTCCTGGGGGTGCATAACTTTCTGTATAAGTATCTGTGTTTTAGGACCAGCCTCTATTCCAGGTAAAGAACTGGTGCAAGACTTAGGCATAAACAGGTGAATTGGACCTGATCAGATGAATTCTTAATGAGATCTGCAGAGATGCTGTCCTTCAGCTCTCTCTTTCCCAGCAGCAGCTTAGCCATCACACCTGTGCTGTGGTTATGGGTTTTTCATTATTGTTTGCTCTGTGATTCATGAATGGGCATCTTAGGAGATTTTTAGGCTCTTAGTGGTCCTTTAATGCCTTGTAGAGTACATACTTCAGGACTGCTTATAACTGTGATAGCTGGCACAGCAGGTTGACTAGCATGAAAATGATGGCAAAAATATGTAGATGGATGGTCCAGCTCAATGTTTTTTTCGAATGTCTGTCTTCTCTGTCATTCACAACCTGGTTTAAGGGGAGAGCAGGACTAAATGCAGGCTTTTATATGTAATCGCTAGTGGTTGTCAGCTGATTGATTGGGAGTCATAATTACAGTGAGTGGAAAGCAAAGGATGCTACTTCTGCAAATAACACTGGGGAGATTAATCTTTCTGATATATGAAAGGTTGTGTTCTGTTTGCCTTGTCAGGCAAAGTGGAAAATACTGATATCATCAGTGGTATATCAATTTATGACAGGGTGCTGGGGGTGTTTTAATACAGAGTAACTCCAAAAAGTGGGTTTTTTGAACTTTATTTGCCATGTGTTGATGGGTAGCAGCCATTTAGAGAAATGAATATAGCTAATGTTTATCTATCAAACACTGCAATGTTTGAAGAAATTAAAAAAAAAAAAAAAAAGGGAAAATTGATCTTGAGTTCCAATTTAATAATAATGGAATATGAAGGCCAGATCGTAACTGTAGAAGTTCATTTCAAATTTAAATATTTAGCATTTTCACTAGTCTGTGAATATAAGAAAATTTATTACATTAAGATGGAATTTAGATCTTTGACATGAAGCTGATATTTTCATAGTGTGAAAAATATCAAGCTGACATTATACTGTCTCATTTGATGACTTCCAAATGTCAGAGTGCAGTAAGTTATTCATAGGGACCTCAATGTCTTGTGATAGTGTCAATTTAGAAGACATTTACATCGACTTTTTTTATTTAAACATGTAAAATGGAATATGCAAAGTGGATGAGGGGAAGGGGGAAAGACCAGGGGCAAGCAAGTTCTCAGTAATAGAATGAAGCACTTCTAAGGCTAATTTTCACTAATTTTCAGCCTTCTGAACAGCTGCATGGACTGCTGCCTGGCAGCACTGATGGCAGCTCCAGGCTTATGTCTGTGCATGTTATTCACTCATTCTCCACTCAGCATTTCTTGGTATTTCAACAGAACTTACGGCATTAAAAATAGTATGATATGCTTTGCTGAATAAATAAGCCACCCATCCCTTGCTTCTAAGTGACTTGTTACAAACTTCAGTGACGCACGCCCACTGCTGTCTAACCATTCAGCCTCCTGTTGCGTTTCCAGCTGGGGGAAAGCACCGAATGACAGCCCTGAGATAGCTGTATGTGCTGTCATGCCTGTAGCGGGCCTCAGCCAGATGACCACCAGGAGAACCATCCATGCACCATCGCTGACTGCAAGAAGAGCAAAGTCCAGTTCCACCGAAGCTGTGTTGTGCACCGATGCCAACAGCTGGGGCTGACGTGGCTGACTCCTTGCCCACACTGCTGCTGTTACTGATGCCTATGATGTCAGCATCTCTCGGTGCGGTTTGCTCAGCTGTGTGTTTCTGGTATGCCCGCTGCACGCTGCGTTTCCGAGCCGAGCTGTGGCTGTGTTGGGCAGCTCCGTGTTCCTGCGTGCGCCTGGGCGGGCGGTCATCGCACCAAGCGCTCATCGCAAGCGCTGCTGTGCGGTATGGCTCTACGTAGAGCATACCAGAAATTGTCACGCTTACTTTTATACCAAGGAACCTGTTTTAGAAAAGTGCCGGGCGGTGCCGGAGCGGGGGTTCCCGCACCCAGAGCCAGGCCGTGGCCGCAGCCCTCCGCCGACCGCACAGCCCGGGGCTGCCGGACAAAATGGCGGCGGCGCCACGCGGCAGCGGAGGGCTCTGCTCCGCCCCTGGTGCAGCCGGCAGCCGCCTCGGGGCCGGCCCAGTTCCATCGCACCGCTCTGCCCTTCTCGCGGCACTCCGCGCCCGCCTAAGCCGAGGGGTGGCGGAAGGCCGCGCCGTGCCACCGCCCCCAGGCGCAGCTGCAGGCGGGGCCGAGTGCGGGCGGGCGCGGCCATGTCGGAGCAGGCGCTGGAGGAACTCTCGGCCCTCGCCGCCATCTACTGCGAGCCGGGCGCCTGCGAGGTGCTGGCGAGCTCAGGTGAAGGCGGCTGCGGTTCCGGACGGCCCGGTTCCCGAGCAGCACCCGCTCGACCCGGCGCCGTCCCGCCGCCCCGGCCCCAGCGGCCGCTTCCACGAGGGTGCCGAGCGCTGCAGGGGCGGCGCGCCGCCGTCGGCTGCTGGCCGCCCGCGACGACAGGAGGCGCTGCGGGGCCGCTCCTCGCGCGGGGCCGGGCTGCGGCGCGGCTGCTGGGGCAGCTGTGTCCGCTGGGGTGACGGCGGCGTGCGGCTGGTGCTGCGCGTTTGCCGTAGGCTGGAAGGCGAGCGGACCTGCAGCGCTCCGGGGTGCTGCGGGTCGGGAGCGCAGCGGCGCGGGGTGTCTCGGGGTCCCCCTCCCCGGATCCCCGGCCGTGGCCCTGGGCAGCCTGAGCTGGGCTTTGGGCGAGCTGAGCTCGTTGGTCCCCGCCGCTGTGTGAGCAGCCCTTGCTGCTTTGGTGTGCAGTGGCACGGGGCTGCCCTGCATGACTCGTTGTAAACGGATACTGAGAAATTCATTGAATAAACCACATTCTTTATTTGAAAATAGCCATCGAAATAGATCCCCGGAGAAGAGTAGGCCGTTATTTGAAAGGAAGACCTGCAGACAGCCTCCGAGGGACGCAGACATCAGTGCATGCGTGGGGAGCAATCAGCAGGGGTAGCCTACAAGTGGGGTTGGTTTGCGTCTACATCTGCAGCACACCTCTTGCCCTGGTTCTCTTTTTTTTTCAGTTGGCATTTAGAGGTGTATTTTTAAAATGTAATTGATGAAATGCCTCATCTGAGTTTTGTTTTCTAAAAGACGTTAAGTTCAGATGCATTATTTCAGGCGCTAATTGAAAATACAGTATCTAGGCTTAACAGATACTCGTAACAAATGTATCTGAACATTGTGTATGCGCGGCTGTCTCTCCATCTCTGTGCTTCACATACAGCAAAATGTTTTTGTGTTACTAAATTGCCAGGATGTAAAAGGCTTAGAAGTCTTCCAGGGACATCGTGAAGTGTCATGGATGCTCAGTACAGACAGGCTGGTGTATTTATATTAGTGTTGTGTGACCTTGTGAGGTTGTTCCCACGATATGTTAGGATCATGAATATCTGATTGATTTCCATTGTTTTCAGCTAGAATTGAAAAGGTTCCTTACAGGATTGTTGGAAGTTTTCTTATGTTGTGAATTTTTGTTTTGGAGTTACAAAAGCCTTAAGTTAGTCTAAAGTATGGTTTTACTGTATTTACAAGCTTATATTTGCATAATCTCTTCAAACCATAGAAACTGTCTTTGACAAAACAGTGCACGAGGGTAACTTCAGAGAGGCTGTTAGATTCTGCTCTCTCATATGTTAAGAGTAATTTGGGTATAGATCTGTTGAATCAGAAAGGAGACTATTGAGACTCTTACTCTTTATGGCTTTGAGGAATGGAAGAAAATGCTTTTGCAGAGCTCTGGGTGTGCTAACAACCTCAGCTTCCCAGAATTTGACAATGAACTATTCAGAATATAAAATATGTTTTTATCCAAACCAACGTGTTGATGAATTTAAGTAAACTAATTACGGCATATCGTTCTTACCTTCCATCTTTCCTTCTATTTAGAAAGATTAGCATTAGAGATAGAAATCCATAATTTACTTTTAATCTGTTCTTTTCTGGTTTACTCATCCAGTTTGCAATAAAAATATATTTATATATTCCAAGCTCGTACTTTAATAGATGCCATTTTCTGAATATAAAAATAGTCTGCATTTGTTGCACAAAATGCCTTTGGGCAGGAGAGGAGGGGGATATCTGTCTGGCTGTCGTGGAACATAAGAAAAAATCTGAAGTATGCTAGAGCTAAATATGCTGATAAGCGTGCTGCTGTGGGTGAAAATAGGTTAAAATGTATTGAGTTTAGTCGTATTAGCACATTAAATGCCAACAGGGGTCAGACCCAAACCTTTATTTCAGAAATAATCACCATTTTGCTGCGAAGCCAACTCAGACCTTGTACTGTGTGCAAACAAAGGATACATTTCTTCAGAGCCTTGTTACAAAGGATGACAAGTGTCACTCTTTGTTCTGCCGGCAGCCTGCAGTCTGGTGCAGAACATGGGCACCACCATGCTTAAATAAACTTTGCACACCACAGCCCAACACATGTTTTGAACAAGTTCTCCTTTTTGAAAGTGAGTCTGAAGCAGATGTAAATGGACATGGCCAGGCTCAGAATAATCTGCTTTGGGACGTGAGGCTGCAGGGCTGCACTGGGACCACTCCATCGTGCAGGGAGAGGTGTGAGGATGTGGCAGGCCTATGGATCCATGCAAGGCAGTGGGAGGTCCTTGCTGAAGGGGCAAGGTTGGCCTGGCTGCTTCTTCAGTTCATCTGTAGGCTATGTGTTTCAAATAGATATAGGCAACATGGTGTAAAATGAAGCGGCTGTTGGGCAGGCATCAGGTGATGCTGATGTTCAGCCAGAGGCTGGGGGCCTGGCAGCCCATGCTATTGTAATGCTGTACTTCAGTTACTGAGTTTGCAGCGTTTGCTTGTTTTATTTTGTGACTGCTCTGCCTTTGAGTATTCTTTGCGTGAACCAGGAAGGAAGTTTGGAAGCAGACCTTTGGTTAAGCTCTCTCAAGTCCATCTCTCTGTCCAAGTCGCTTTTAGTTTCTTTCACTTCACAGTGTTTAAATATAAAGTCACAGAGAGCGCTGAGGTTGGTTAGCGGTGTTGGCAATGCTAATGAGACGTAATTCAGCTGACTGTTATGTGAAGGAAGATAAGGTACGGGGGGAAGGCAGCAAGTCTCTTCAAAAGAGCTCCTCAGAAACTCAACTCAGCTCTCATCTGCCTTTCAAATCTGGCTTCTCCTGCCCTCCTAGAGTGAATCAGCCTGACACTGTAGCAAGTTTTGTGAGAATTGGGGTGAAGTGTTTGGAATGCATCAAAGAAGTGAAGCAGAGAACATCTGAGGAAGTTCACCTTTTATCTGATACCCTCTTTTTTGATTGCAGAGGAGGTTAGGTCTTTGTCCCCTCTTTTCACATTATCATGTTTTGTGTTTTTTTTTTTTTTTCTTCTGTGAAACAAGAAGGTGTTTATTGTCCTTTCATATTCATTGATTTAAATTATGTGATTTATCAGGAGAGCGTGGTCTTTTCTTCTGTATGCTTACACTGTATACTTTTCATGTTGAATATAATTCTGTTCTGGAGTAGACTGAGAACATGTTTTGAGTACCTATGCAGGTCTATAAGCATAAACTATGGATATATATGGATATATGTATGGATGTGTGTAGTGTTTTGGATCAAATGTACAACAGAGATATTTTGATTGTCTCAGTCCAACTGTTGAGAATGTGGAGAAGTTGACAAAAGAACTAAATGTAATTTCTCAGAAAGTTGTAGGGGATGAAGAATTTGTGACTTCTTTTCTTTCCTTGTCTCTTTTCTGTGTTGAAGTGCCTTTGAATAGTTAGATCTCCAAAAATACACAAGGCTGTGCTGGTATTGATGTTAAAAGCCCTACTGTTTTTTTCTAGGATCACAGTTACAGCAATGCTCTGTCCCTCCGTCCAGTTGTCCTTGCTGCTGTTACTGAGCTGTAGAAGCTGACTTAAGTTTTTAGGACGATTCTTTGTTACTGGCTTGAGTAGACTTTAAAGGAGCCAAAAGGTGTGAATGCTTTTTGGAATGTGTTAAATAATTTTCCTTCTAGTATGATATGGAAGTGTTTCATTTTAGGATTCTCTGCAAGTGAAGCTACAGTTATTGGTTGCACCTCCACATCCCTCCAAGAAGAACACCACATTTTTAGTACAGAATGACATTAAGTTGAATTGATAAAAGACAATAGCAAAACTTAATAATGTTTTTCAATTTCAAGCAAACTATTAATGTTTATTTTTTGTACTTTCCAGAAACAGATGGAGTCACATTTAGAATTCAAATCAGCGTGAAAGAGCTACTGGATACAGATATACTTTTAAAGCTGCTGTTTCGTTTACCAGTCAATTATCCATCAACTCTACCAGAAATTTCTGTTAGCTCAGACCAGCTTACAAGGGCCCAGTGTATGGACATAAAAGATAAATTACTTGAACAAGCAGAGAAGCATCTTTCTGAACCCATGGTGCATGAGCTGGTTCTTTGGATACAGCAGCATCTTAAATATATCATTAAGCAACCAGCAACAGTTTGCAATGAAAAAAACACTTTGTCAAAAGGAGCAAGTACAGAGGATGCTATCTGGATGCTCCTTTTGCATTTAGATCACATGAGAGCGAAGGCAAAATACGTCAGAACTGTGGAAAAATGGGCTTCAGATCTAAAACTGACTGGAAGACTGATGTTCATGGGCAAGATAATATTGATTCTTCTTCAGGGTGACAAGAGCAACATTAAGGTGCAGGAACAATGAATGTTGACTAGTTCTATTGATTTACTACTGAAACCTGTGTCTGAATATTTTCTGTGTGTTTTTCCAAGATTAGCAATTTTGGAAGCAGATTGATCAATAGGAGAATTTCCTACAACTTGATTCCATGTTTAAGAAAAATGCATTATTCTGTAAGAAAGAAAGCAGGGAAGCCTGTGGCTCATATTCCATTGGATTCCCACTGGAATTCTGCTCTTGCATTCCCTATGTTTCCTGACATATAGTATGCTAGATATTATGTAATACACTAGATTCAGTCTCCTTTGTTTCTGAAACACCCCATAAAATAACCCCAAAGCCAGGAAATTTGTGATCAGAAAGTAATAACAGATACTAGTAGTTCATTCCTAGCTGTCTTCTTCCATGTCACCATGTGGTGCTCCTACTGTACTTTTGAACTTGTGTTTATGTGGTCCTGCTGCACTAGGCAGGCCTTTATGGTGATACCGGAGGAGAACATTTTGATCTTTCAAACTCAACGTTTTCTAGATTATTTAAGACTATGCTCAGCTTCAAGGTGATGCGTTGAAACAGGCATGCATTTTTTGGGATGAACTTTCAAAATGTGATTACTGCGTTCTGAAAAAGATCTTTGTTTCATATGGATTTCTGAGTTTCACTAAACTTCAAAGATGCTGGCTGACATTTAATATTTTGTTCTTTTTGACACTTAGGAGTACTTGATTCTTCAGAAAACTTCTAAGGTAGATGTGGACTCAAGCGGAAAGAAATGCAAAGAGAAAATGATCAGTGTACTGTGTGAGACAAAAGTACAGTCACAGCATAAAAGGTATAATTTAATACTGTTGTGGATAGAAAAGTAACTGAATCGATAATTACATTCTGACAAACCGAGGCATATTCATGAGTTTCTCTTGTACAATGTAGGTTTCAGATGTTTGAAGTCAAAGAATATTCAACGCTGGATGAGCTACAAAAGGAATTTGAAACTGCAGGACTTGCAAATCTCTTCTCTGAGTTTGTGCCTCCTCTCTTAAAATAAAAATAAAGCACTGGACTCTATGACAAAAGTAGTATTTGACTGCAGATTGTTCTGGGAAATAAAGACTATTTTGACAAGGAAACTTATCTACAAAAAAAGAAAAAGAAAAAAAAAAAAAAAAAAGCCAGGAGTTGCAATAAGGAGAAAACAACATATACGTGAAGAATTGATTTTTTGACTTCCATGCATGGTATAACTTTTTCAGTGGAATGTGGAATTAATTATGATATTTGCATGGTAAATATGAGATATTAGGAGAAAATAGTGTTAGAATAATAAGCTTTCAATTAAACTGTTTTACAGTCCTGATTTTCAGTGTTTTGTTTTTTATCTGTTGTGATGGTGGTCTTCCATAATAACTTGCTAGAAATTGTGTCTAATTTCATTTTGGAAGCCTCTGTAAAGGAATTTTTCTAAAAAGCCTAGCAAACAGATTTTAGTATGAGAGGACAGCATATACTTAACAACCTTTAGGTGTTTGTCTAACATTTCTTTCTCTATTTATTTGAATCTATATATACTTGAATGTTGATTTAAAGAAAGAGCTCATGTGACTTTGGATATAAAAATCCTAGAAATGTTTTTCTTAATGTCAGTTTTTATTTTAAAATGTATAAAACCACTGAAGTGGAGAATTTAAATTGATTTAAAAACTGTATGTCAGCTGAGATAAAGCCAACTGTAGTGTTTTCTTTCGTGGATGTATGTCCTCAGCCAGATCTTTAAAATCCTCTGGTGTTCTGGCAATAGAACAGTAAGGTACTTTGTCCCAGCCCATATCAACATCTTGGCTATTTAAGTCTAGCTGGGCGTTATCCAGCTTGCATATAAATCAGCAGAATATTCTTTCTGTTAATTTTGGGAATTGGATGGAATAGTTTTCCTAGTCATGTGATCTCAAGTTGTGTATGACTGCAGAGGTAATTGAGGCATACAGTTATGGCCATCCTTCTTGCAAGTGTAGATGCAGACTCTTCTCCAACTTCTTCCTCACTGCTGTAAAAGCTATGACATTTAGCTGCTTTAGAAAACCACTGGTGGGGTAAGCGGCTCCAGACACACTTAGTTGTAACCTCGTGTATTTTCTGGAATGTTACTGTTACCCGATGCCTTCTTGGTTAACTGTTTGGACTGGCTTTTCAAAGAAGCTAGGTGATTTTTGTATTCCAGGAGCCATAGAAAGAAATGTAGAAAACAAAACCACAGTGCCATTATCACTGGTGACTTTGTTACTTACTAACTTACACTGGTCAAATCAACAAGTCTAGTGCAGAAAGGACTGTGGTATTTATGCTTGATTTGATGTGCTTCAGAAGAATTACAAATCTGATCAGCTTGATATTGTTCAGACAGCAAAGAAGAACATGAAAACTGATGTCAGTCTGATTCTGTCAAAGCAAACATTTTTGCCTACCCGTCAATCAGTCACTTATTTTGAAGGATAGGAGAGATATCTTGTGTTCAGACAAGTAAACAATATTTTTAAAGGTTGTTCTTTTGGAAGAATGTTGCAGCTGTCTGTTAACAGATGGTATGTTTGCATTTACTGGTAAAAGAGATGGGTAAGCCTGTGAGCCCCTGGGGCACAGAAGTCATCGAAATGCATGCTGTGGTGCATGTTCCTTCCTCCAAAGGAAGTGAAGCAGACACAGAAGTACAAAACGCAAAGAAACGAAGCCAAAGCTCCCGAGAATTGTTAAGAGGACATGTCTCAGTGTCTGAAAAGTAAGTGAAATATATATAGTTATTGGAGTAAGACA